TCATCTCTAGGGAAGCTATGGGTTTCCTAAAGCCATTACTATTTCTAAAGTCCTCCATCTGAAGTGAGTCTCTGCATCCACCTCCTGTATGCTTCCACTATCTATGGAGCTTCCTCAGGAGTTCCCTCTTCACCCGAGCTGGTCTTGTGAGCTATGTACTCACCACTGCTCTTTGAGGGCGATTCTGTCATTAAAGACAAGCTGTACTGAGTTGTGCTGCCCTTTGCTGCTGCCCACGGGATCCCCACTAAAAGTCTCCTGAAAGTCTTCCTTGAGTTGTTTAAGTAAGAGCTTATCCACCTCCTCCCCTTGATTACAAGTTCTTTAACTCCCACCACGATGCCGCCCTAACTGGCCTCTCCTCCGATCCTCACTCACAAGGGCTCACCCAACCTGGTGACTCTCTCAGCAAGGAGCTCCGTACATCCCAGCAACTCCTTCCCACCAAGCAACTCCTTCACACAGAAAGTATTACTCTTCTGATGCTCCGAGCCTATATCTCATGAAGAACCTTTATCCATCCATTGCAGCACGCAAGCTCTGTGAGGTGTCCCACTGTGCCTCAGAAGTTATTCCATCAGTGTCACAGCTTGTGACAGACCATGGGGGTCCAGCTCCTCCAGTCTGTTCCTGGTCAGAGGGCAGTGTTGCACATCTGGGCTGCAGCCCCTGAGTTGTGGCTCCAGGGTCAAGTTCAGACCTGTCATGGTGAACAGTGATACCAAGCACCCAAGAGCCTGTGTACATGAGACATGCTGGAGCGCATGGCATATGGCATTGTAAGAAAGGCATGAGGTGCCCAAAAAGAGATCAATCCCTGCTGTCCCCAAGGTCAGAGAGAAACTAGGCTGGGCTGTGCAGCCCTGGCAGCAGAGGGCATTGCCGTCTGCGGTGTCTCTGCAGTCCTGGAGGGCCTTTGGTGGAGAGAGGCACTGATCTCCTGGAAGGACAAGGTGCTGCTGAAAGTGTCCTTGGGTGTGGACATCCTGTAATCTAGGCACACTCTAAATTCATTGGACTTTTTGAAGACTCTATCATCAAGAGGGTGAGTAAAGGATGGGGGAGAGGAGAACAAGAAGAAGCTGAGAACGTAGGCCCCCAAGTGGAAAACCCAGTGCAATGTGCTGCTTATTCATGCAGTGCCTTGCATCTACTGGATAGAGATAGGCCTCACTGCAGGGGTGGGAATCGGTCACTTTCCACAAGCACCAAATTAATCTGAGATGCCACCTGGGGGATGTGTCATGCACCTGCTCTAAATGGACATGGCTTTCCTGTAGGTCCTGTGCTGTCCCTGCCAGCCACAGGCAGTTTTAGTGGAGAGCCTTGGCGTCACACATAGCACTACAGGCCTGTGTTTGGCCATTAAATGAGCAGCTGCCCTGAATTAGGTTCGGCTGCGTGGGGACATGTGAGACAACTATTGTTACAGACAATGGACAGCTAGTAAATACAGGTACAGGAGGGGAGAAAGAGAAAGACTTCACTCTCCCTCTGGCACATAACTTCATTTGGTCAGCTGAACACCTCAATAGGCCGCCCTGAACAGCACGAGTAGAGACAGGTGGTGGTGTCCTAACTGTGGGCATCTGCTGTCATTTCAGCTGGCACCCTCACCAGGCTGCAGGATGATGCCCCACGTAGGCCCTGGAAAACCCAGTGCAATGTGCTGCTTATTCATGCAGTGCCTTGCATCTACTGGATAGAGATAGGCCTCACTGCAGGGGTGGGAATCGGTCACTTTCCACAAGCACCAAATTAATCTGAGATGCCACCTGGGGGATGTGTCATGCACCTGCTCTAAATGGACATGGCTTTCCTGTAGGTCCTGTGCTGTCCCTGCCAGCCACAGGCAGTTTTAGTGGAGAGCCTTGGCGTCACACATAGCACTACAGGCCTGTGTTTGGCCATTAAATGAGCAGCTGCCCTGAATTAGGTTCGGCTGCGTGGGGACATGTGAGACAACTATTGTTACAGACAATGGACAGCTAGTAAATACAGGTACAGGAGGGGAGAAAGAGAAAGACTTCACTCTCCCTCTGGCACATAACTTCATTTGGTCAGCTGAACACCTCAATAGGCCGCCCTGAACAGCACGAGTAGAGACAGGTGGTGGTGTCCTAACTGTGGGCATCTGCTGTCATTTCAGCTGGCACCCTCACCAGGCTGCAGGATGATGCCCCCAGATGTTTCCCAATCTCTCAGTATTGCTCCATTATCTGGCATATGTCTGGCACCTCAAATGTCACCAGGTGTTTGTGTGTGAACTCCTGGTCTCCATCTCCATCAATGACCATGGCACTATAGAAAAGAAGTGCAGGTGCCTATTTTTAACAGACACATTATTCAAGCAAGAGGAATCTCACCTCCTGTGGGTTTGTGGCAGGCTTGGGAGGGAGCTGAGTTCCCTTCCAGCCCCAGGACTACAAATGCAGGTTGAGATGCCTCCATTGACTCAGCTGATTCCCTTCCCTCAACAGGGGTAAAGGAGATTCCTTCCTGTCAGCGTCCAGGTGTCCTGTCTAATGGTGGGACAAGGAAGGGTGATTCTCAGACCTAATTGTGTCTCTGAGAGGAGAAAGGACTGCTGGAAAGACATGTCTCTGCAGAGATGAGACAGGCAGCACTGGTGATTACTTCGGTCTCTTTCCAAGTAGCTTCCTGGAGAGCCCCAGGGACACCTGGAGGGAGCGTAGAGTGGCGTGGGGGGCAGGGAAAGTGACGTCTTGGGCAGGTTCTCTACTTCTGGGCTGAGACAGGCTCCTGGGATGGAGGGAGCTCACGGGAAGCAGGCAGCACTGCAGAGAGACAGCTCTGCCAAGGAACATCTCCACTGCAAAGCACAGCAGGGCTCTGGGAAAAGGAGTAGGGCAGAAGGAGTTTAAAGGCAATCTGGAGTGGGAGGACAGAGGAGAGTTCCAAGGGAGGAAATCTTTACAGCCCCTGACACGGTAAGTCTCTTGAGGCAGAGCAATGCAGCTGTGGTTCCTGGAAGGGTCTCCTAAAGCTATCACAGCCTACAGCCTACAAGATCTGTCAGGTCCAGGGGCTCATGTTAGACAAGTGTGAAGGGATGAAGCCAGGGTGTGCACCCAGAGCTGCCCAGGACATTTCAGAAGGGACTTTTCCAGAGGAAGATCAAGGCAGGGGATACCTTAAAGGTAAAGAGCTTTCCTGAGTCTGTGCTTTCAGTTTCCTGGTGTTCCAGGAAAAAGGGAAAAGGCACTGCTACGTTTGGAGAGGGAGATTGAGAGTCCTGAGTCGCTACACTGAGAGATCAGTAGGTCTGGTAGGAGCCAAGTAAACTGCTTTCATCCACTCTTCTACCTACAGAGAGCACAAGTATCACCTTTGTTGTCCTCATCAGGGTTTGTCTGACCTGCTCCTTACTGCCTGCAAATGGGGAGTACCTCTAGAGAGTGCCTGAAACTGGGAGGTTTCTTCAAGTCAGAGCTGAGCAGACAGTAGTTGGTGGTGGGGTCTGTGATCCCTGACAGGGAAAAATTTGAGGGCAGAGAAACAGCCTGGCAGGGATAGCTCTAGGCAGCAGACACATGGACAGAGAGTTATATGAAACTCCAACAGAACTGTCATGGGAAGGAGAATTTGGAAAGCTCCCTGTCATCCCCTCCAATGCAGATACCTTCCTCTGAGCAAGTCTGCGGGTCTTGTCTCCCACCCAGTAGAGCATCTGCCCTCAAGGCTCTGTGGTCCAGGGCAGGAGTTGCCTCCTCTGCAGCCAGAGCTCTAGCACAGCAGAGGTGCATCTCTACTGACACGTGGCCACTTCCCTCTGCAGAGCAAAGGGGCTGAGAGCCACTCCCCTGGGATTTTGCTAACTGGGGCGTGCTGTGCTCTCGTGGGTAAGGAGGAGGCTTTCCTGCGTGCCCAGCCTCCTCTCCTCTCCTCTCCTTGCTTTCCTTAGGAGGGGAGTCACAGAGTTTTTCTTTGTTTCTCCACCTGGTTGTGCTGCTCTTCTTCCTGCTCTTGGGGTCCCTGGCAATAACAGTGGTGGTGTGGCGCTAGGGGTGGGGGTGTTGAGTGCCTGCTCTGACACTGACCTGGAGGGTGCTGCCCTGGAAGTGTTTCCATGCGACCAAGGTGCCCAAGCCCCCTCTTAATTTTCCAGGCTCGAGACACTGCAAACAGTGGTTGGGCAATGAGACACTGCTTCCCTTAGCAGACATCACCTGATTATGCTGGACAGGGAGTCCTGCAGGGCTGTGAGCATCACTCCAGAAGGTCATAGCTCTCCTGTAGGACTTTTGTGATGTCTGAGAACACCTGATCTGCCCATGCAAATCAGCATCCTTGTCCTGTCCTCTTCATCGTCCTTTGCATAGCTGTGCTGGAAAGGAGAGGTGTTTTTAAATCTGCACGTTCAACGGGACCCCTCTGCTTCCAGTACAGTCCAGTTTCTTTTTCAGAGCAACCTCTGTGTGTAGTCCTCCTCCAGCCAAGAGCGGTGCAAGCACAGAGCAGCTGGGCACCAGAGCCCTCCTGGATGTGAGCAGGACGCTTACACTGAGAGCAACGGGGCAATGGGGCAATTTTACTCTTTCCAAGAACATTTCCCAAGTTGGGATGGGGGTGTCTGAATACTAAACTACCGTGTAACAACACATTTGCTGCACCTCATGTCCCACTTTCCTCTGTGGAAGAAAGCATCCTTCTGAGCTTTTTACCCTCCGCTATAGTGCATCACAGGGAACTCCTCTCCAGGAACCCTCGCTCAAAACACACTGGGCTGTTGCTACCTGCATGTGTCATTGCTGTAAAGCAGGACTGACTCTTAAGGAGCCCATGGGTAGACGGCACTGCTCTGCACAGCACACTCAGCTGGCACAAACCAGAGCTGAAGCCTCAGACCTGCATAATTGTCCCCCAGGAAAGAAAAGCACCCTGAGGTACTTCACAATGAATCAAATTTTGCTCAGAGAAGCTTCTCTGAATTTTTCTGTTTTATCTCCCTTGGCAGTTTCCATGCCCAGAAGCAGCAGATGTCCAATAGCAGCTCCATGAATGAGTTCCTTCTCCCGGCATTCACAGACATGTGGGAGCTGCAGCTCTTGCATTTCTGGCTCTTCCTGGGCATCTACCTGGCTGCCCTCATGGGAAACGGCCTCATCATTACAGCTATAGCCTGTGACCAGCGCCTTCACACCCCCATGTACTTCTTCCTCCTCAACCTCTCCCACCTTGACCTGGGCGCCATCTCCACCATTCTCCCAAAAGCCATGGCCAATTCCCTGTGGGACACCAGGGCCATCTCCTACTTGGGATGTGCTGCACAGGTCTTTTTCTTTCTCTTCTTGATTGGAGGAGAGTTTTGTCTTCTCACTGTCATGGCCTATAACCGCTTTGTTGCCATTTGCAAACCTCTGCACTACAGGACCCTCCTGGGCAGCAGAGCTTGTGTCCACATGGCAGCAGCTGCCTGGGGCAGTGGGTTTCTCAATGCTGTGCTGCCGACTGCCAATACATTTTCACTACCCATCTGCCAAGGCAATGCTGTGGACCAGTTCTTTTGTGAAATCCCCCAGATCCTCAAGCTCTCCTGCTCAGATGCCTACCTCAGGGAGGCTGGGCTCGTCACATTTAGTGCTTTTCTGTTTTTGGGGTGTTTTGTTTTCATTGTGCTGTCCTATGTGCAGATCTTCAGGGTTGTGCTGAAGATCTCCTCTGAGCAGGGATGGCACAAAGCCTTTTCCATGGGCCTCCCTCACCTGGCCATGGTCTCCCTGTTTATCAGCACCTTCATGTTTGCCCTTCTGAAGCCCCCCTTCATCTCCTCCGCATCCCTGGATCAGGTGGTGGCATTGCTGTACACTGTGGTGCCTCCAGCACTGAACCCCCTCATATACAGCATGAGGAACAAGGAGACCAAGGAGGCCCTGCGGAAACTATTTGAAGATGGACTACTGCAGCATCGATAAGGTATTCATCATCCTCAGGAAAAGCTCAGATGCTCTTTTGATCATATGTGTCTTGTTCTTCTCTTTATTTATTATGCTTCATATATTACTTCCACTTAAATAATATTATTCTTACCCCTCCACCAGTGTTTTCTGACCCGAAAGATCTCATGTATATATGGAGCTGGGCTCCCTGTGTAGGTAAAGGAGCTCGGAATAAAGAATGCAGCCGTGAGCCCTGGCAGCAAGGGAGGACAGCAGGGCCCTGGGCTGTATGACAGAAAGCACGGCCAGGAGAGGGAGGGAAGGGACTCTCCCCCTCTACGTGGAACTTGTTAGACCACATCCAGAACACTGTGTCCAGTTTTGGGAACGCCAGTACTGCAAAGGTGCCAGCAAGCTGGAGCCAATTTAGTGAAGGGCCCTGAAGATGGTCAGGGGGCTGGATCACTTTCTCTGTGAGGGAAGTCTGATGAAGCTGGGCTTGTTCAGCCTGGAGAAGGAATGGCTGAAGGACAGCGCACAGCAAGGGGGGCCTCACCTCTTTCACCATGAGGCTAGTCAAGCATTGGAACCTGATAGATTTTGAAGTCCTTCATCCTTGCAGGTTTTCAAGACCCAGATGGACCAAGCCCTGAGAAACAAGGTCTGACCTCAAGGGAGTTCTCTGGTGATGGGAAGAAGTCAAATATTGCACCCATTTTCAATTAGGGCAAGAAGGAGCATCCAGGGAACTACAGGCTGGTCGGCCGCATCTCAGTCCCTGGGAAGGTGATGGAGGAAATTAATTTGATTAATTCCTTTGCCCACATCTGCGCATAGCTGTTGCTATCTCAGATGCCCTGAGGTAGCTGAAGTACCCATATGCTGCTCAGAAACATGACCCAGGACCTATGGGAACCCTTCTGGAGCATTCACTGGTCACCAGGAAAAGTATCTCCAGACACATCCTTTGAGACAACTTCTGTCTCTCCATTGACTAGAAAAGGAAGTCTAGACAACTTGATTTGACATAGACATCTGCACTGAGGTGTCTGCTGTTGGGGAAGACCAGTCTCCTCCCTTTCTTCACCTGAAAAGGAGTACTCTTCATTTACCTAGGAAGGGATGAAAAGGGAGTGTTCATAGATGATCTAGACACCCCTTTAAGTGACACTGTAATACAGGTGTATTGAGATGAGTGCAAATCTGGCCACCCAAACTCAGGGTGTTTCACTGAAGTTGATCACCCTGCTTCCCAGAATCAGCTGAGAGAGCCTGCCACCTTAGTGGGTGACTGTCTCTGTGCAAAGAGTGAGTGGCATGGATGCTCCCGGGAGGGGAGGGTTTTTAGCACACTGGGATCTCTGCAAGACATAGAAATGTCTTTTTTTTATGCTGCAGGCCTGATTATGATAGAAATGTTCAGAAAATATCAATAAAAATGAAACAAAGAAGAAATGAGGAAAAGTCTAAAGCAAAGAAAATGTTTCAATGAAATTTTCAGTCTTTTTTTTTAATTCTTTCTGTTTATTTCCTCCTAGTTTGGCTTTGTTTCCTTTTCATATACCAGTCTCTGGGAGAGTTCATGAATTTTTTTTTTTTTTAAATTACAATTATGAAAGAAAAATTTATTTCCAGAACTGGGGTAGGATAGAGCTACAGGGGCACAGATGTCTTACATTACAGGGACACAGATGCCTGGTGCCAGTGCAGGTATCCTGGGACCCTCTGCCTGGCCTCTATCTGCAGCTCCTGAGGGGCTCTGGTCTCCTGCAGGAGACCTCCTGTCCTGTGTGACAGTGGCCAGTCACAGGGAAACACCTCAGCTACACCGGGGCCTCTACAAGTGTCACTCGATGTCCATGGTCAGACAGCTGAGCTCTGCCTGGAAAGGGGAAGAATGGTTTGAAACTTTTAAAAAACACATAAGCACCTTTTCAGGTGAGATGCTTGAAAACTTTTAATAAAATGATTATGTTTTTCTACCATGACAACATGGGAATTTCTAGGAAGTATACTAACTGTAGGAGAAGAAATATTGACCTTCCCCTGTACTTGCGTTGCCAGAACTCTGTTCATGATACTGTGTATTTAACCTCCCTAATTTTTCCATCTGTCCAGGTCTAAAGGCATCTTCTCAGCAGACTATCTGGACCTGTGGCGTTTCCATTGGTCTCCAGTTTTCCTTTCCCCTTACTCCTGTTCAGTCAGATCCCTCTCAACCACCCAGGCTGAAGCTTTGAGCTTCAGGGAGTGAGAAGCCTGCCCCTGTCTTTCAGCAGTCTACTTATCTCTTCAGACAAATCCTTCATTGTGTTTACATCTATCATTTCCTATCTATCTAAAACATTTCTAGTAAGGTTATTCCCTGTGGATGGTGACCCTCATTGGAGGCAGTATGGACTTAGCATAGACTTGAGGAGTGTGGGTTATTGTTTATTAAACTTTACCATGCTTTCCTTCTGTCTGTTGGCAATGAAGAGAAATCCTGCTGTGCCTGTGTGCAGCCAGGTCTCTAAGGAAAGCAGGTGGGAGCTCGTGCAAAGGAGCTGTTACCTCCAGCTGCAGACTTCAGTGGAGAAGTCTGATGTCTGTGATGCAAGTCCCAGGAGGCCAATGTCAGAAATGGTGGGGCTGGGGAGGTGAGGAGGAAGTGTATTGGGTTTGTCTAGTGGTTTTGGTAGTGGGGGGGCTACAGGGATGGCTTCTGTCAGAAGCTGCTAAAAGCTTCCTCAATAGAGCCAATGCCAGTCGGCTCCACGATGGACCCACCGCTGGCCAAGGCTGAGCCCATCAGCGATGGTGGTAGCACCTCTGTGACAACATATTTAAGAAAGGGGGAAAAACTGCTGCACAACTGCAGCCGGAAGAGAGGAGTGAGAATATGTGAGAGAAACAACTCTGCAGACACCAAGGTCAGTGAAGAAGGAGGGGGAGGAGGTGCTCCAGGTGCTGGAGCAGAGATTCCCCTGCAGCCTGTGGTGAAGACCATGGTAAGGCAGGCTGTCCCCCTGCAGCCCATGGAGGTTAATGGTGGAGCAGATATCCACCTGTAGGCCATGGAGGACCCCACGCCAGACCCCATGGAAAGCCTGCGCTGGAGCAGGCTCCTGGCAAGATCTGCCGACCCGTGGAAAGAGAAGCCCACACTGGAGCAGGTTTGCTGGCAGGACTTGTGATCCCGTGGGGGACTCGTGCTGGAGCAGTCTCTTCCTGAAGGACTACATCCCATGGCAAGGACCCATGCTGGAGCAGTTCATGAAGAACTGCAGCCCGTGGGAAGGACTTCTATTGGAGAAGTGCGTGGAGAACTATCATCTCCCATGGGAGGGACCCCACGCTGGAGCAGGGGAAGAGTGTGAGGAGTCCTCCCCTGAGGAGGAAGGAGTGGCAGAGACAATGTCTGATGAACTGACCACAACTCCCATTCCCCCTCCGCCTGTGCCACTCGGGGGGAGGAGGTAGAGAAAACTGGGAATGAAGTTGAGCTTGGGAAGAAGGGAGAGGTGGGAGGAAGATGTTTTAAGATTGTTCTTATTTCTCATTTTCTTACTCTGACTTTTGATTGGTAATAAATTAAAATAATTTCCCCGAGTCAAGTTTTGCCCATGATGGTAATTGGTGAGTGATCTCCCTGTCCTTATCTTGACCCATGAGACTTTTGTCATATTTTTCTCCCCCTGTCCAGCTGAGGAGGGTGTTGCGAATGAGTGGTTTAGAGGCTGCTTAAAAAATCACTGTCAAAGGTATTAGTAGAAAATGATTTTAACAGAAATTTATAAAAGCATGACTTAATAGAGTTCGATGGCAAGGTTCACTCTACCACTTACTACACGGATGAAGCATACAAAGGAAAAGAGCACGGGAAGCTGAAAAGTCCTTGACTAGCGTAAACGCTACTGAGCAACAACTAAAACATCAATGTGTTATCAACGTTATTCTCATACTAAATCCAAACCACAGCACTATACCAGCTATTAGCAAGAAAATTAAATCTATCCCAGCCGAAACCAGAGTATTGTGTTAGAATTGAGTTGGGATGATTTATACAGAGGCCGAGGACGAAAACGAAGCTGAGGACGAAAAGGTTAAGGGAGACCCTCCCGTTGAGTCACGAGGTTCAAAGTAGACCCAGCTGGATCCACCCCTAGTCCCAGACTTGGACAATGGTTTATGTCTAAAGGATTACATGTGTTTAGCAGTAGTCTAAAGTTCATTCCGAATCTTAAGATAGACCGTAAGATTTTAGCAGACTATATTTGCTAGCGGGTACCTCCATCAATTCATACACACACAAGATATAGATAAATATACAAAGGTATACCTGTTAAAAATCCCGCTCGAGTTCAGTGAAATACTCACGTCAAATGTCTTTCTCAATGGGCAAAGGGTTGAGCCTTGAGGAGTGTTTCGGCTGAGGAGTGTTGCAGCCCAGGTCCCGTGGCAGTCGGTGACTGTCCTCCGAATATTGCAAACTCAAGAGTTTGCAAACTCTGAGAAGCGTTCCACTCAGAGGGAGATACTGGGCACAGCCCGCTGCAATCCAGGAGAGCTCAAAGGGCCTCACTTAGGACTGCTGTTTATAGAATCACAAGATGATTGACTTTAGTCATCTGTCAAAACTCTCAAGGTTTCAGTAACAATGATATTGTTCCACTTGAGCTACAACTCAGATAATGGTATCAGGGGATGACAATTATCCCTGCTCTTGTCCTCCACTTGGACCAGGCAGCACAAGTTTCTGTTGCAGTCAGTACATTCCCCAACCTCAGCTGTGCAAGAGTTCCTGATACGGTAAAGGGACACTTTACCGCCTGACTCATTACACCAAGGCCAAGGTTTAACGGGAGTTTCTGAGAATGTGGAGCAGCCCAGGAGGCAGGGGGAGGATGCACCACGACAGAGGGGGATTGATAGAGTGGCTTGGTGGGCACCTGGCATCCAACCAGGGTCAACCCACCACAGAGGTAGAACATTTCCTTCCCTTTAAATTGTTTCCTTAACTTATTTGTTGCTTCGTTTTATTTTTTGACATTTTC